AAGGGGCTGAGCTGGCATCTGGGACCCATTGGGATCATGGAGTGCAGCCCCCGGCCCTGCACAGACACCCCAACAATCGCAGCCTGTGCATCCCTGGCAGCGCTGGCCAAAGGCTCCTGGAGCTGCGGCAGCCTCGGGGCCGTGCCCATTCCCTGGGGAGCCTGGGCACTGCCCCAGCCCCCTGGGGGGGAAGAAGCTTTTGCTCATCTCCAGCCCAGCCCTGCCCTGGCCCAGCTCCAGCCGTTCCCTCGGCTCCTGTCCCTGCTCACCTGGGCAGAGATCAGAGCTTGCCCACAGAAGCTGTGGCTGCCCCTGGATCCCTGGAAGTGTCCAAGGCCAGGTTGGAAGGGGCTTGGAGCAGCCTGGGATAGTGGAAGGTGTCCCTGCCCATGGCAGGGGGTGGAACGAGATGAACTTTAAGGTCTCTTCCAAGCCAAGGCATTCTGTGATTCTGTGATTTTGGGGGAGATGCTGAAGCTCTGGCTCAGCTTTATCTCAGCAAATGTCTGGAGCCAGCAGCAGCCATGGGTGGGATCATCTCCTCCTCCCTCTCGCTGTGGCTGTAACTCACCCAAGGGCAATGTCATAAATGAAATTGAAATTTGGACAGCTAGGGCTATTGGGTTAACAGCAGTTTAATAACAAGAAAAAAGATGATACAATTTAGTGAATTGAATACAAGAATCCAATTTAATAAAAGAATACAATTTAGTGGATTGAATAGCAATTTGATATAGAAGGAATACAATTTAGTAAAAGAGTACAATTTAGTGAATATATTCATATATATATATATACATATGTATATATATATGTATGAATAAATATGTGAATATAGCTTGCCAGTAATTATGATTAAAGTATAAGCAAAACTGACCGGGGTATGGAGAGGGCTTCTCAAGCCCCTTACATATGAAATAAAGCAATTCAAACTAAACTTATATACTGTATACTTATACATATTCATTCATGTTTCCCCTAAGTCTCCTCCAATTTCTGATTCTATAATTTTACATCACAATTCTTCATGGTGCATGCTTCACTTGTTGCTCAGGGGTCTTCAGTCTTCTTTTGGTGGTATTTTGGATGAAGGCTTACACTCATTCTCATTGTCCTCTGGATAACCTCACAGGCTGTGTGTGTGTCCCAAGCGTTGTGTTATGTAAGTAAGCATTGTGCTCCACTAATTAGTCTTATATTTTATAATTTTCAGGCCCTATGCCTAAAGTCGTTCCAACTTTATCCATCTCAAGGTCGATTTTGTCTTAGGATATTTCTTATCTCAAAACTACATCCTGTATCTTAACATTTAACATGTAACATCTGCAGAGGGGTACATCTGCCTTGTAACACCAATTCCCTTGATTGCTTCTAATAATAACTTTCCAAATAGTTACACTTTAGATAGGACAAATCATTTCCATTTATTACAGGAGGGTGTGAAAACAGGAGCATTGTTTGGTGTGGCCTCCTCTCTGCCTTTCACACCTTTCAGTGCTTTGAGCCATCCAAGAGCTTTCTCCAGGAGTGCAATGAAACAGCTGTTGCTGCTCCCAGCTCTGGCTCTTCCCAGTCTCTGCCCCTGCCTGGTTTTGTCCCTCTTGCTGTGCCCTCTGTTCCCCCAGGGGGCTGCCCCAGACTGAGGGATCAGATGCAGGCACTGCTGCTGCTCCCTCAGGACCAGCCCCAGTTTGGTTGTTGCTGTCAGTGCCAGCAGAAGCGGTGGCTGGAGCAGCGGGTGCTGACAGTGGCCCAAGGCCCGGGGCTGGAGGGGTCCCTGGGCTGGGGCTGGGAGGGAGCTGCCCCTTGTTCTCCCTCTGCCTCCCGCAGAGCTGGGCCGGGCACAAGTGGGGCAGCAGAGCCAACAGGGAGCCTGCGAGTCTCTTGCAGCCGTGCCTGCTCAGAGTTTGGCCTTGGAGCTTCAGGTGGGCAAAGGCAGCTGCTCTGCTCCCTCTGCGTGTGCCCGTGTTCAGCAGTGCTGCTCCATCAGTCTGTGCCCAGCAACGGGGAAAAGCCTCAGCCCTGCAGGGCCAGGAGCTGCCGGGCTCTGCCTGAGCAGCTCAGCCAGCGGGAAGGGAGCTGCTCCACACGGGAACCAGGAGCAAAGGACGTGCCTTTTCTAGGACTTGTTTTCTGTAAAAAAAAAACCAACAAAAACAAACAAAAAAACCCACAAAAAATATACATTAAAAAATATGAAAGATAAAAATTACCCCCAAATGTGTAGTGAAAAATCTTCTATAACTCCGGAGTAAGAAAGAGGTAACTGATCTTTTGAAAAAGAGAACTCAGCTTTGATTTTAGTTCCTTAGTTTGTACACGTGCTAGTGGAAAGGATCCATTAGCTGCCTTCCTTTACAGATTTGATGGATGATTTCCAATATTAAGATATTTTACACTGCATTAAAGGAATAGGAAATTGAAATACATGTTCTTCATGACTGTGTCTTGAATGTAAAAATTTTGCAGTTTGAAACTTGGACCTAAAGTGTTGCAAATGGAAGTGATAAATGCCAATGGACTGAGTGAATGCAGCTTTTCCTATGGGATGTGCAGCACTCCAAGGACTTCCTCCGTGGGGCTGTGGCTGCTTGGAGCTTTGTCCTGTGCCACTCCGGGATGTCATGAAATGGGACTTCACCTGCCACCAGCCCAGGTCACGCTCTGCCACCCCAGCTCCTTGGACCTTGTGTCCCCAAAGAAGACACAAGGTGTTTCTGCTGCTCCACCTTTGCACAGATCCACAGAGAGCTGGGATTATCCCAAGTCTCGTGTCTCCATTGTGCCATATTCCTAAAGAACCAGCAGCCCATCCTGATGAATATGGTGAGTTATGTGGATGGTTGTCAGCTCCCTTTCCTGCCTAGAAATCCTGAAACTGCTTCTAAATGCTGTTCCCTTCAGCTCTTGGACACCTACTGACACAGAGCTGGGAAAAAAATGCCCTGGCCATGGCTTACAAGGTGAGTTCTGCCAAAGTTAGAGCTCTGTGGGAAATCTCTATCCATCCCTATCCTTTTAATATATCTCTACGTGGGGGTGTGCATGGATGTGTCTTGGATGGAAAGGAAGGAGTGTGCAAACAATGTGACTGACACTTTCACTCTCTGTGTTCATTCCATACTCATGGGTACCAAGATATTATGGAAACCTTTGCAAGGACAGACCTTCTGTCCATGGATACAGAGACATCCAAGAGCCCCTGGCACAGACAGACCCTTCTGTCCATGGATACAGAGACATCCAAGAGCCCCTGGCACAGACAGACCCTTCTGTCCATGGATACAGAGACATCCAAGAGCCCCTGGCACAGACAGACATTGCTGCTCTTCAACCACTGACAGGATGAGTCCCTGAGACTGGGGCTTGGCCTTCCTCGTGGTGAGGGGCATCAAGGAAGGCTGCAGTGTGATGGAGACTGTGATGGGCTGGGAACTCACTGGGGGAAAGGAGGGAGCAGTTGTGAAGTAAAAGGCAGGTGTGGGGACACAACTGTTCAGAGAAGGGCTGAGCTAGAGCTTGAGCAAGATGAAAAATGTCATTTGGGGTCATCCCAGATGGATTTCATTTCAGAAGTTATGGAACAAGTTTAATTTTTGGGAGGTGTCATGTTTTCCCTTGGAGGTGGACACTGTGCAGACTTGAGCTGCATTGCC